CTGTCAGCACTTAATTTTAACTCTGTTGCTCTAAAAATAGAGACAAGTCCAATTCTCTACTTCTGAAGCTCATTGTTTTATACTGCAGTTGTTGTCAGAGCTTGTTTAATTAGCCAGGATAAGCCTGACAACAGATCAGATGCCACCATTTACATTCCCATCCACATAACATGTCTGAGCTGTGCTGAATACTTGAAGAGTAACAGGAGGGACAACACTACCCAAATTAATTTTAGAAGCCAATTCTGTGGGTCTCATGGTTGTCATCGCTTGAGCCAAGAACTGAATGATCAATGAGCCCCATGGAATTGCATGGTGCAAGTCTGCAAGCCCTTCACACATACCCTGAAACAGTATGCACTGAAATCACACATAGCCCCAGCTCCAAGCCACAAGGGAGGAGATTTAGTTCTATATAGGTTAAAGGGTTTTTTGAAGAGAAAAAACTCCAAGAAAATCCTTTAAGTACAACTACAGTTCTCCCTTATCACACTCCCTTCAACAGGCTCACAAGCCAAGCTTGCTGCTCAGTAGCTTTCAAATTCTTCCTGCCAAGGCTTATTTTGACCTTGTAGCCCTTGCTAACAGGCCCACAGATTTGTTCCCAGCCATTTCACTCCTGTGAAATAAGCTGAGTCTCAAAATCCTTCCCCCAGAAAATGCAGACAAGTTTATACTGGGGCTCCTGAGCACATAGGCATAGCATATAGGATTTTTCTGACCATTTCCCGGAACCTCAGAGGATTCCAGCTATAGCTGAAGTCTCCAGCAGTAAGAAATGTAAGAAAACAAGTCTGCCACAGTTTACAGGCTCAGTATATACATCAGATTTAGTATTTATCAGGGTTTCACTTGAAATGATTCATCCACACATCTCAAGGATTGAGGGATCTAGTAACACTTCCTGGGGCTCCTGAGCACATAGGCATAGCGTATAGGATTTTTCTGGCCATTTCCCAGAACCTCAGAGGATTCCAGCTGTAGCTGAAGTCTCCAGTAGGCAGTAAGAAATGCAAGAAAACAAGTCTGCCACAGTTTACAGGCTCAGTACATACATCAGATTTAGTATTTACCAGGGTTTCACTTGAAATGATTCATCTACACATCTCAAGGATTGAGGGGATCTATTAACACTTTCAAAGTGATGTTAAAACCATCAGTGTCACCTGATCAATACAAGCAGACAGGAATGATCCTTTCATAAAGTTAACCTCGGAGACATCACATGCAGTCTTGCTTACAAACACAAAGTAAGCAGAATTTCCCACTGCTTTAACCACAGATATCTGGCATAGCCAGACAGACAGTGATTTTGCTAATGTTTATTCCCACTTTCCTTTCGAAAAAAGGAACTGTTTCTATCTGGCAGGATTTTTCTACCAGAGACGAGTGTTTTTGCACAGATTGAATGTGTTCCCCTCACCCAACCTAAAAAAAGCTGATGCTTTTTGATGCAACTTCAGCAACACATGAACTGAGTTGACAAGCACTTGTGCCCTGACAGAGCCCATCTTCTTGCACACTGCAGGATGCCCAGGAAACCAGTTTGATTTAGGCGTTATCTGCTGCAGATACAGCTTGTTTCAGGCACCAACCTCACTCTCATGGGGTTCTTGGGCAGGACAGACCTTTTCTGCATCAGATCCAGGTGGCCTTTCCCTCCAAACCCCACAAAATTTCAGTAGCAGTCTGAAACCTCACCTTTCCCAGGTAAATCAGAGCCAAGTACAGATACTCCTACCCTTTCTCCCAGCCATGCATTAAGATTCAGCTAACGGGCTCTATTTAAATGCCTGTTTAGTCTTTGGTGGTAAATCAGCTCTGAGAGCAGCAAGCACAGTGGTCACAGCTTAAACCCTGCAATACCCCAAGCTCTCTGCTCCAGGAGGGCAAGCACAAGGAGCCAAACCAGTCACCACCATCCCTGTGATGCTGCAGCTGCCCAAACTGTCCCAAAGATGAAAAATTCCTCAGACGTGTGCCAGGTGAGGGAGCCCTTCTGCAGGAAGGAAGGGACAGACCGATTCCATCTCCTACCATCAGGATAAATCCTGGTTGTATGGCAGTTCACATGGCAAGAACAGTTGTATGGCAGTTCACATGATCAGGATAAATCCTAGTTGTATGGCAGTTCACATGGTAAGAGGAGCATATCTAGCCTTGCCATTAATTTCAGACACCAAGAACACCTTGCCCTTTCAGCCAGGGTGACTTCTTTGCCTACTAGCACCTCCAGATGTGAATTAAGGCTGGCTTTGCATCTACATCTTCTGTATCTACTACTAGAAATGATGGATATCCTTAATATGTCTTTGGAGAAGAGTGGCCTTAAGTAAGGGCCTGCAGCTGAAGCAAGGCAATATTTATTCACTTCCTGTGACAACCAAGAGCAATATTTGCCAGATGCTGCCAGACAGAAGTGGTTTTGAGGGCTTTGCCACAACTTTTGACTTGAAAGGACAGAGACAACTTGGAAGCAAGGACACAGGAAGGAGAAGCAAAGCACCCTTGCACTTACCACCAGACATTAAATAGTCCCTCAGGATGGGCATCCTGAAGTTCCCAGCCAGTGTTGCAAGGTATGGTCGGATCCCAGGGAATTTCTGGCCGACTCCTGTGGCCTCTGTGCTGAAGTTGCAAAAGGCACCCAGGCCCATGATGCCATGGGGGTGGTACCCAAAAATGTAATTCCTGGTGGTCAGCAGGTTGTGGGTTTTGACCAGCTAGAAAAGAAAGATGGAGTGAACTCACAGGCAGACAGATATTTTCAGGTAATGACTAGAATCAGAGGAAAAAAAAAATTGAGGTTCCCAGGACAGCTCTACTGCTTTTGTAGAGTTTACTACTAGGGAAAAAAGGAACTAATGCTATGGGTTTTCTTAGAGAGCAGAAGTTGCAGTAAAATTAAATCTTAAAAACAAGGGGAAGAAGATATGCAAACTGATCTTAGATGTGAAGATGACCACGACAGCCAAGCAGGAACAAGTTCTGGGTTTCAGCAGCCTGCCTTTTGTTCCCCCATGCCACTTTCAAAACTTTTTGCAAGCCCTTTCACCCAAACCAAGTTCTTCCCAGTCTTCTAACCACAGCAGGGCCTCCTTCCAGAGGCTGCCCAGAGAGGCTGTGGAGTCTCCTGCTCTGGAGATCTCCAACCCACCCGGATGCGCCCGGGTGCCCCGTGCTCTGGGTGTCCCTGCTGGAGCAGGGGCTGCACGGGGGGATCCCGAGAGCTCCCTGCCAACCTCAACATTCTGGGATTCTGTGACCCCATCTCAGTACATTAGCAGCTCATGCTCTGCTGGAGAGGGCTTCAGTGTCCCATTACAGAATCAGGTTTATTTAATACCTGAAAACAGACCAATTGCTCACATATCTGCAGGACACCTTCCAAGAGGGAAACTGAGGGCCTTGGCATCTTACTTGCCAGATACAACCAAAAACATCGCCTGCCTTCCAAGGCATTTTGCTCTGCCTGGTCCCTCTCAAAGAGCCAGCAGAATAGGTCTCAAGCCACCTATAGCAGTATTTGGATTTCTCAGGCCGTGCTCCAGCACAAACTCTACCAGCAGGTGGTTGCACAGTCATCCTAGCCTTTTACTAATCTATTTTCATATCAGTGCCACACTGAAGTGTTCTCAGCTGGGCAAAACACATGTCCTGCTTCCATCAGGGCCATCTTTTTAAAAATTTTATTTTAAATAACACTGTAGCAGTAATATCCCATGCATCAGGCAATTCCAGACTCCCAGTAAAGATACAGCAGAACTGATGCCTCATCCTGCACTTTAAAGCCCAGCAGAGAAACAAACCACCTATTAGCCTCACAGCAGCATTTCTTCAGCTAGTGCAGGATCAGGAATCAGATCAATTTAAATAATAAAAACCTGCATAAAGCATTGATACTAATTCTTGCCAATACAAGCAGTACTGCAGCAGCTATCAACAGCTGCACCTTCGTTAGATGCAGAGCTATATCCCAGCCTCCAAATTGCTTATGATCTGCAGTCACAATCTGTGACCTATAGCTCATGTGGGAAACAGTGCAGCTTTCCAAGACATCACAGCAGCATTACACACCCCACCACCTTGGCCCAAGAGTCCTCTGGAAAGCAGCAACTCGGGTTTCAGCTGCTTGCAGCATGATTCAACAAAACCCATTGCACCACATTGAAGCAGAGCGCCCAGCAATTTGCTCCTCCTCTGCCATCATTGCCTGTAGACCAGGCAGCAGCAGTTGCATTTATTGCAGAGGCCAGCAACAGCCCAGGCATGACATGATGGGGTGTATTCAGCAAGCTGACTGCTCCTCTCCAGTTTTGGAGGAACACGGGGCTGCAGGAAGCATGCAGAGATGCTGGTGATCACATCCACCACAGCAGCTCCGCAGAGCCGCATGGCCCATATCACAGCACCCAGACATCCTTTCCCTCTCCCCTGCCACCCATTAACAGCAGATGACTTGGCCTTCCAGCCCCGCGGTGGAAAAAGCTCTTGCACCAATCTGACCCAATAAGACAAACTGCTCTCACATGACAGCTGGAAACTGCTCTCTGGGAAAGCGAGTAGGAAAAAAAGCAATTCTACAATAAGCAATTGTCCCCTTAGCTTGTCAGCTCTTGCTCAGTGGTAGGAGAAGCTCAAGTCCCAGTGGCTACAGACATGTGGCTCAGCTGGATCAACATTGTGCCTGGCAGAGATTTTTCTTTAGAGCAGCTCTCAGAGCAGGGTGGAGGCTTATGGGCTTTGAGCCTGATCCTTCACCTACAACAAGCTCAGTTGCTTTAAAAAGAACCTGGCTGAAAACGAGGTGTTTGTCCTTGCTGCCCCAAAGCCACAGCCTGCGCTCCAAGAGGCGCTGCAGAAGACATGCTGTTCTGCTGCCAGCCATGGCCAGCGTCCAGCTCTCACCCCCTGGCCACGTGCAAGGTCACCCACTTCCCATGTGGAGCCCATCACTTGCACAAATGAACCCTCATATGAACCCTGGCCAAGCTCCAGGCTTGTTTTCCATGGTCACCATCCAAGACCTCCTGTTGCAGAGGTGTAGGGTGACACTTCCCCTTCATGCTGATACCCAGCCCAGCTGCTTAAGTAGTGCAAGGGGCACACAGGGAGCCAGGACAGGGAACCAAGGGCCCATCTGCCATTTAGACAGGTGCTTTCTCTCCCCAAATACCCCTGCAAGCTGTTGCCCCATGATACTACTCTTAGCAAACTATCCCATGACAGGTGATGGGTTCACAGAAGGTGACAACACCATGGACAATCTAGGGGGCAAGTCTTCCCTCCCCTCAGTTGACCCAGGGGAGCCAAGGATTGCCAGAAATCCAAACAAGTTTTAATATCTGCTAGTGATGCTCAGGTCCATTAATACATGAACCCAGCACAGAGGCTGAGCTGTCACCAGAGACACAGACAGCCTTAACACCTCCTTACATTTGCTGTAGAAGACCTAGAAATTAAAGGGCCTTAAGTACCTACCCCTAGGTTCACGCCCAACACATAAGCAAGACTAAAGCTTTCCTTAGGAGGCTGATCACCCAGTCTTCTTGCACTTTTCCTTCAGAGAGAAGTTGCTGTCTGGCAAGCAAATACTGAGCTGCTGTGTCTCCAAGAGCAGAAGAAGCTGCTTTAATCAGCTAAGGAGCTGCTGCTCATCATTTGATGAGTGTTTTATAACTGTTCTGAGCCTTCAACAGGTTTTCCCCTCTATCAAACCCTTCTCCAGACCAACACAGGCACAAACTCACTGAAACCTTAATGCTCCATTATGGGATACAGCAGTGGGTCCTTGCTGCACCCCAAGCAGTGAATAAAGCTGAATTCCACTGCACTGACACCTTTTCCCAGCTGCTATGAACTGCTGTTCAAGACAGGTCCCATTTCAGTAGCAAAGGTTCAGAAGCAAAGATTCAACCACTTGTTCTGGTAGAAACAGATTTCTTAAGAGATGCAAAGTGGCTACAAAAGCCATAAAGCAGTTCAATTACAGTAAAAGAGCTAGAATTACAATATTCACATGCCAGTTCACCCTGGGAACAGAACTGCCAGGTTTACTTGTAGACACAGAATGAATAATCAGCACATTCAAGTGTGCAGAGAGACTGCTGCTCAATACCAGGTACCAGCAAAGAATAAGATCAAAATAAGGAGTATAGGTAGATGTTCATGTTCTCAGCCTATGTACAAGGGGAACACAGCAGTGACTGCAGAAACATGCAGGACTGAAGCAGCAGAAACCTGCATTCAGGTTTGTAGAGCAGCTGAACAAGCACAGTCTGCTGCATCAACCCCAGCTGCATTATAGAAAAAACTACTCTCACCTCCCCCCCAGCAATGCACTGCAGCTCCAGGAAACCCCTTCAGGCTCTGTTACCAATCCCCTACATTACACACTTCTATTCTGCAAGTCATCTGTAACAGTAACTTAAGGAAAAGGCTTGGCCAGGAGGGCAGCAAGCCAGACTGCAAGGCAAACACTGCCTTGCAGCAATTCCTCCTCTGGCCATAGACTCTCCAGTAGGAGGAAAAAGAAAGAAAATAAAACCTCACTGCACACACGTGGCACATGCTCAGTGCTTTACCTCAGTTAACCTAAGGTCTGCAGTCACTGCTACCTGAAGTGCTGTTGAGCATGTGAACACTGCTAGGGCTTATCAAGGGCTGGCTTCTTCATCTGAAGACCTTTAGACCAAGGCATGTCCCACATTTTGTCCTCAGATTAGGAGGCTGGCTGAGACCTGGCCTGTATCCACAGCACTGGGGTGCAGTGGATTCAAAGCACAGCACCATGCTCACCAGTGAAAGGTTAGGCCAGCGAACATGGGCTACTGCTGCTCTTGAGTGGGAATTCAGCAAGATTCAGGCTATTTCCCAGCCTCATACACATCTGGGTATCTCCAGATAGTTAACAGGATGCATCAGGATGTGAGACTGCTCCCTTGGGTGGATGTAAAGCCTTATTTGAAAAGATCTGAAGAGATGCCTGCTTCTCATGCAGGTACATGGTCAAAGCAAGCTGGATGCCAGCAGGTACAGCTGTAGAGTGATCAGCAATGCTAGCTAGAAGATAACAGCTATCAGAGGCTCACACTGCTGATGTGTCAATCCTGCTAGATCCTGCCTGTGCCCAAGTTCATTGCTCACCAGCTTGCTGGGAGTAAACCTTAGCCTTCAGAGTAAACCAGCTGCTGAAGAGCATACCAAGAAGCCTCTGCTCTCAAATACATCAAGTGTCCATGTCCAATGCAGGGCAGAAGTCTTGACAAGATTTGCTTAAGGGTTTTGGAAACATTCTGCAAAACTACTTCCCATTTCTCTTCTGGAATAGAGAGTGAAATCTAGGCTAATAGTCCCAGTGCAAACAGTACCTGATATGCATGCAGCCAGCACAGCTGTACATGCAGAGTCTGCAAAAGCCAAGTAGAGCATTACTTGAAAGTTCAGCATCACAAATGGTGCAGGACAAGGTGCTGCAGATGACCCTCCTAGCAAACCGTTAGCCAGAGTGAGGAACCAAACCCCTGTGAGGTCTTCCCCAAGGCTGTTCAGAACACAGCCAAGGTGACTGCTGCAGGCAGAAGATTCAGCAAACAGGTGACTAGATCAGTATCCCCCTAGCCCAGTCACCTCAATAGTTTCTTATCTAAGGAATTCCCCTGCCCTTAGCAAGTTCATGCTGCCATTCCCTGCATCATATTGGGTTTATGCTTCATTCAGCAAGAGCAGCTCTATGATCACAGAGAGCTTCTGGTATTGGGTTTATGCTTCATTCAGCAAGATCACAGAGAGCTTCTGCCACCTCCCAGCCCTCTGCTCCCTGGAGAAGGTTTTGTCAAACATGCAACCAGCTGGTTATATCTCCAGATACAGAAGCTACCACAGCAGTTAACCCTCATGCTCTGCCCTTGGCATCCCATTTATCAGTGGGCTCTGAACTTTGGGAACTCTACTCCTTAGTGACAAAAAAATTGCAGCTGCAATTGCACTGCATGTACTAGCAAGTATTTATTTAAAAATAACAGAAGTTCCATTTATCTACCCAGCTTCATTTCTAAGCCTGCTTCAGCTCAACTGTTTGATAGACTTCTCGAACACCCAGAATGGATCTGACCTGCATGGCCTGTGAAGAGCATGTTTCCATATATGCGTTACTAGGAGCACTGGGACAAGCACAGCAGCTGTTACAGGTGACACTGTCATATCAAGTCCCTACACAAAATTGTTCCATTTTAGCCTGCAGCAATACCAGGAAAGCAGGATTTGTTCCAGTACTGAGGACTTGATGCTCGGTACTTGAGCAAACAACCCACACGAGACCCACCTTCACCACCACAGCATTCACTTTTTCCACTAGCTACAAGACCTGGGCTGACCAGCCTTTAGCAGCCTCTGTAGCTGTAATACTTTCCATGTATTCCTACGCTTGCCAAGAGCCACCAGCATCATTAACAGCACAACAAGCATGTGACAACATTTGTTCACCAGCCTCACGCAGAGGATGAGCAACCTTGAAAGTCCAGCTTATACTGAAACTGCTCCCTTTGGAAGCCTGGCTACTTTAGGGCAGGCTGGTTTTATTAAAAGCCACTCCAAGGTCCCACTCTTGCTCAGGCAGAGAAAAAAGCCATGACTTCTCATGTCTTACATAAGAGTCCCTTCACTTGTGTCCTTCCAAAGAGGATCTGAGCTCCCTCCCAAGTCCTTCAGGCAGTTGTGTATTCCCCAGTGCAGCCACATGTCCTGGGAGTCCTGTCTTCAACAGGGGGAAATTCAACTTATTCAGCACCAGCTGAATAATTAAAACCAGTCATATTGCCAGTCCTAGCAAACTCCCCCAAGTAGTTAGATTTGATAGAAACTCCATCACTTTGAGAAGTGCTGGGACTTCGAGTGCACTGGATTCCCAGCTGCTTTTCACTGTTACCTTGCACTTCTCAGGGGGAAATAACTAGAAATTAGGCTAAAGCTAAGCTGCATTTAAAGGAGAAGTAGAGAGAGGGCAAGACTGCTTTAGCACATTCTATCTGGAGATTCCGGCAGGGGAGCCTAGTGATAAGGCTAAAAAACAGAGTTTTTGCAAGTGACAACGCTGCCATAACTAATGACGCATTTCAGATTTCACAACCGGAGTGACTCCACACCATGGTATGGCAATGCTAAATAACCATGTCCTGCTTACACTTCAGCATTGTGGGCTGGCTAGCACGTGTCCAAAGTCATGTCCACGGGGGTTATTACAGATGCGTTTCTAAAATGGTTAGTCCTATTACATCAACCATTACTTACCCTTATCGGAAAATAGTCTCTGAAATATCTCCATATAGCCCAGTTTCTGACCCACTGGGATCTTCTACCTCCTGAAGAAAAAACAAATCATATTTTAAAAGCTATTTCCACATGACTTTCCACCAAACAGCCTAGAGGACTTCAGATCAGATAGGCTTCTATCTTTCTACTACAGAAAAGTCAACAATTTTACTTCAAGGGAGAGGGAAATGGGGAATCTTTTGTAGAGATCAGGTTAAGCAATCAGGGCTCAGCAGTTCAGAGTATTTGGGCAAATTATGCAAGGCCCAACTGCAAATTCAGGCTGGGATCAAGCTTGATGCCCCATTGTGGTAGGGAACTGGCTAATTCAAACTAGCAACAATTCAATGTTACAACCACATTTGTCCTTAGGGAAAGGAAGGAAAGTCCCCAAGCTGTACACATCCATTGCCACAAAGCAGCAATGGCAAGACATCAATGAATATTACCTTGCCCTGAGCATCAATAGAGCTTGCAGACACTCCTTGTGCCTAGCATACATTTGCATGCTTCACTGGCAAAAAATGCTCTCACATTCAGTTAAAAAGTCCCACCAAGATGAGAACCTCTTTATCCAAACACAGGGGCATTTGAACAGCAGTGTTCTGGTCTGGAATATTTACCTTTCTTTGGTGTATTCCAGTCAAATACCAGCCAGGCTAAATATAGAGCAGCAATCGCCCAGCAATCTGTGCAGAGTATGTACATGAGGATTAAAGTGCAAGCAATACCTGGGTAAGTCCAAGAAAAAAGAAAGACAATTGTATCAGATTTTGGTCTGCAGAGGACACTTCCATTGGCATTAAGAATCCCTTGCCTTTTGACCCCTCCATACTTAAGCTATCATGTGAGGTCATTAATCCTAAATCAGATTGGATTTAGCTAAGAGCCCTTATATAGGGCTGAGAGCTTCCTCCAAAGCTACCTGCCACCCAATTCCTGCACCCCTTTATGTTTTTCCAGCTGAAACTCTTCCAGTCTCACAAGGCAAGGGACACTTTAGCACCAAGATTTGCTGTGACCAGCACCATGGGGCTTTATTTCTTACCAAAACATATGACTTTACACCAGCTCTACAACAGCAGTCCTACCAGTTTGCCAGAGATCCTGCCCACAAGTGATGGAAGCTAAATTGTGATGGAAAAGAGACT